AGCTACTCTAATATAAAAAAAATAAAAATAAAAATAAAAATAGAACTACCTCAAAATCCAGCATTTGCAATACTAGGTATTTACCCAAAGGATACAAAAATACTGATTTGAAGGGGCATATGCACCCTGATGTTTATAATAGCACTATCAACTATAGCCAAATTATGGAAAGAGCCAAAATATCCATTGACTGATAAATAGATAAAGAAGGTATGGTATATATATACAATGGAATATCACTCAGCCATAAAAAAATGAAATTTTACCATTTGCAGTAACGTAGATTGAGCTAGAGTGTATTGTGCTAAATGAAATAAGTCAGTCAGAGAAAGATAAATACCATTTGATTTCACTCATATGTGGAATTTAAGAAACAAAACAGATAAACATGGGAGAAGGAGAATAAAGGGAGAGAGGCAAACCATAAATGAGACTCTTAACTATAGAGAACAAACAGGGTTGATGGAGAGGAGGTGGACAGGGGGTGGGCTAAATAGATGATGAGTATTAAGAAGGGCTCTTGTGATAAGCTCTAGGTGTTATATGTAAGTGATGAATCACTAAATTCTATTCCTGAAACTAAAAAAAAAAAAGTATAGAAATAGAAAAAAGCAATTTTTGTGTAACAAAAATAATGTGTATCACCATGAGAAATAGTTTAATAGATCACATATCAGATTTAATGACAATAAATTTATTTGGAAATGAGTTATCAGATTGGGATGCAATTGAAACAGGTAGGCAACAGATACAAGAATTTGGCAAAACACAATGAAAGAATTCTGTGATAATGAATTGGCTATACAATATTTACAATAAAGAGTACTGTATATTGGGGCGCCTGGGTGGCTCAGTTGGTTAAGCATCCCATTCTTGATTTTGGCTCAGTTAGTGATCTCAGGGTCGTGAGATAGAGTCCCACATTGGGCTCCACACTCAGAGGGGAGTCTGCTTAAGGTTCTCTCCCTCTGCCCCTCCCCCCAATCGCGCTCGTGCTCGCTCTAAAAATAAGTAAATAAATCTTTTTTAAAAAAGATTGTATTTTTTTTTGTCAGAGAGAGAGAGAGAGCACGAGCAGGGGGAGTGGCAAGCAGAAGCAGAGGGAGAAGCAGACTCCCCGCTGAGCAAGGAGCCCGATGCGGGGCTCGATCCCAGGACCCTGGGATCATGACCTGAGCCAAAGGCAGATGCTTAACCGACTGAGCCACCCAGGTGTCCCTAAAATAAG